AAAGGAATCGAGAGGATCGAACAAGCGTACCATCCATTAATTCGTTTCCTCTCTTCAATTAAAAACCACTTTAGAAATTCAGTTTTAGAAAGACACCAGAACGCGACACCGTTTCTGCCATGATGTCGTCATCTGAAATGACGTTATAACTCTGATGCAAATAATGCCGTAACAATTCTACAATTATGCTAATTAAAACGATGGATATCTGCGGATTACCAATGCTACTAAGCTTCAAAACTAGACAATCCAGGGCATATTAACAGGATGCAAGAACGGATCAAAGAAGGTTAACATAAATAGCCTGAACTTACCAGTGATGAGGCAGCCACCGAATGGAAATATGGAAAGAGAATATAACTGACAATTTTGCGACTAATGCACATTGCCGAATTCGTTTATGTAAGTGCGTTGAGAAGATATTACTGAAGATACAAAAGAACGGTAACCGAACTTGCACTGGTCCATCTGTAGGGAAGCTAGAATGCAGCAAGAGCAAGGACTATCAGAAGACACATATTACAGTTCCTTTGGAAGCTCAGTAAGAAAGAATAAGGTTTGAAGCTCCAAAATGATACAATAACTAATTGATGAGTAATAGTATTACCGCATACACTGATCCAAACTTATGCCCTTACCGGGATCACTGCAGCATCTCTAAACCTGTTCCAGAGCGGAACCACGAACTCGTTTCCAATTAAAACTCTTAACAGATATCTGGGTACTCTGCCTCTGACATAATACCTCAGATGATGATGACAACAACAAGATTCGCAATCCAGAAAGGGGATAACTGGACCAAGTCTGATCGCTACATACATGTAACTTTAAGATTCAAGATTCAAGTTATTCCGCTAAAAACAGATATTAATTGCAACAACGATTATTTTGCTTCTGTAGAAGAATTTGCTAACGTTGCTTCGTCACAAATTCAGCACCAGGCAGTTCACTGTATCCACATATTGATGGCTGCGATAGTAGCATTCGCCATCTGCTTAAAACTAGGCGGCAGCCCTCACTATTTGTCTGTTTCTTTTGCAACTGTTACCACCGAATGACATCCTCTCATGGAAACTATGCAATTCAATCAAAGCACTTGACTTGTTATTTTAATATCTGCCTTATGTGAAGTTCTCAGCAACAGCATCTTCATCTTCCATCGCCGCTTCTCCTTTCGGGTCGCGGAGGCAGACGCGTCAGACAGTGCTTCCA